ATCCAAATGCTAGAACAGCCAAGAAGCTCAAATTTGGACCCTTGGGAATTGAAATGAATTTACATTGTAAGTGCCAGTTCTGGTTTTATAATATATCCTTATGGTATCTGATGGCACCACTGCCTACTGGAGTGCATGCCAGGCCAGTGGAGTGTAGCTGCCAACTGCAGCCCAGAGATGACCTACGGCAGCACTCCCACCCAGTCTTCATGTGGCACAACATCTGCCATGGACGAACCACACATTTGTACTCGGCTAAGAGATTTTCCAGGTTGCAGTGTGGTAGCAGGGTAACACGATGGGACCGTGGCTAGACGCTTCTCAAGAGCTGCTTTCTGCCTTGTGCCATGGCCCAAAGGCAGTTTTAACAGTTTTGTGGCACCACCCTGTCTGCCCTATCTCTTGCACAGTCTGTGGCTGGCTGAATGCTCTGTAAATGCTGCTGTTGATTTTTTTTTTTTGCTTTTTCCAGCCTGTGTGTGTGCGAGCAGTGGATTTGCCAATGAATTTTGCATTGTTTTCTCTCTACTCGCAGCCTTAACAGTAGCATCCATTGAACCACCAGCCTTCTGGCCTTAGACAGGCACAGAAGGAAGGGGCTGTAGCTACTTGCTTAACTATGCTCTCAGCCTGTACTTTCTCTTCCACTCCATCAAGGATGATGAGCCTAAGCAAGGAGCTGCACCAGGAGGCAACGGTAGCCAGTAAGGAGAAAGATATTTAAGTACGGGATCTTGCAACACATTGTGCCATGGTGTCAGGTACAATACACGTCTGACAACGCACTGCTAGAAATATCTTTCATGCTGCTGCTTAGCTGTGAAGAGTTAATGCATGTTTTAACTTGTGCTTCAGAGAGGCAGGATTTCTGGCAGCGTGTGATATTCATTTTTCATGATGAAGCTGCAATAACATGATGCCAGTGGGACAGCTTGAGGAGTTTGAACATAACTGGAGCATCCTGGTGGGTCCTGAGTAATGTTATATCGGTGCCTGTAATGTTCTATGGATGCACAGAGAAGATAAATTTTAGTTGTTTGCATGTATTTAATTCTTTATAATAATTCAAAATGCAGGCAATGTGGTTCCCTGTCCCTGTGACAAATTCTTTAATTTGGTGCACATTGCTACAATTATGATATTACATGAGAATGTTGGCTTTAAAATAAGTTTATAAGGAGCACTTGGAATTTCAATTATGGAATTTGACTTTTAATTGACTACTGTCAGTGGACGGGAACCCCTGTGATCAAATATGAGGAGATCAGCTCACTGAAATTAAGATATGCTTATATCCACATTTCCACTTCTAAAGGCAGTTGTTTCATATTTCCAGATGTTTCCTCACATACACCAAAGCCATTTTAAAATGATAGTCACGACTCTTGTGCAGTATCATGTTTGAGGAAGCTAGAATGCTCAAAATTACAAGAACTGACCACACTCATGATTTGGTGAGACTGAATTCAGGGCTGGGAAAGATGCAAGACCACAAAGGAACCGTGGCCAAATTCCTTCAAGACTGTCATCCCAAAGCAAGCTACTGTACAGTTCTCCTGCTGGAGAAGGACTCTCTTTCCCCAACTAAAATGTCCCTTGTGTCAGCCTCACATTCCTCACTAGGAAAACCTGCACTACTGCAGTGTGTGCTGCTTCAGTTCAGTACAGAGCAATAATGCACTGAAATTTTGGAGAGAATGTAATTCTCAAGGAATGTATTTCCTTATCACACCATTGTCTTTAATAAAATAGCTCCCAAGAATCAGCATGGACTATTTTTCCACAATGTGATTTTTATTAGTAATTTATTCAGCATAGCAGATGCCAGCATGCAAACTATGCAAAGAGCAAATCTCTTCCTCCAAGTGTAAATATTTACAGATCATATTCAATGGTATTTAGTACTCTGCAAACATATTGTCAACAGTTCTATCCAGACTCTTCCCTAATCACAGCCAGAGAGTTGGCAGAGGAATGTCCTCTGTGAAAAGACGGTTATGGAAAAAAATGAAAGCAGGCTTAATAGGTTCTTGGCTTAATTAGACTGGATTTATACCAGAGGTGAACCTGGGCCACACCAAATTAAAACTCTGTACCAGGAGCTTGTACCTACCACATGCAGAGTTTGAGGGATGATGCTTCTCAGGGGACAGCTCTCCCATAAGGCTGGGAACCTCTCTTAGTGCTGGATGAAAAGGGCCATGCCAACGCAGGGCAGGGAGGTTCAACCTTCCACATGTTTTAAGGGATGTAGTTCCACCTTTTCTTAGATAATTGGAGTTGTGTGACTATTCTTTGCATTGGATCAACTGATCAAGTTTATTTGAATAGTCCAGAAGAGGAAATATTCCCTATCCCTATCATCTGTTCTTAAAACTGAAATACGTTGTTTCTTAAACACAGACCTGCCATTTGGTCTCTAGCTCAGTCAGTCAGCAAAATACCTGAATGGGTTAATGTCTGGGATGTAGCTTGACTATATAGGAGCCACTTCTGTTTAAACTAATATCCTAAAATCTCCTTTCCTGCATCTCCAGCCCAATCCCCTTTGATAGCATTTCATTACGTCCCATAATCTCTGCTCTCCTGACAATCTGAAATAAATACAAACCAACTGAAAGCTCAACAGTGGCTTAGCCCTCATTTATATTCTGTGAAAACCAGCTATTGCAAGCATGTCTTAGCACCCCGGCTTTTCACACGAGGCATGTAAAGTTGCAAAGATCTCTAAACACTTCAAAATTATGTCCTCTGGGATTCTCAAAGGAAACAGCCTGACCGGCTGGCATTCCCAGTGCATCACAGGGAGAGAGGTGAGCGAGGGCACATTAATGACATCCCATTCTCTTTTTTGCACGGTCAAAGCTTTTTCTCAGTGCCTGTGTTTTCTTGTTCCACGTCTGGGCTTCTCCATGTGCATTTCTTTTTTTCTCCTGAACCTGTTTTTCCCAGAAACGTGGTTGTTTCCCACTACAACAACCCTAAGGGCTGTGTGCCCCCCTGCTTTGCTCAACAGCTTCACATTATTTCCTCCATCGTTGTGCTTGATCCTGCCAGACAATCTATTCTACGGCAGTCAGTCCTCCTCCCTTCAACTGTCTCTTCTAATTCTCTTAAATTGCAAGAGCTTCCTTCTCCCTTCCTCCTTCTCTGGAAAGGAGGGGAGGAAACATTTCAGTAGATGTCAGTATCCCACGTGAATGATGGAATAGTAAATCTATATAATATATACAGACAGACATGCTTTAAATTGAGCCCTTAATGCGGAGTGCTGGCCAGCGCTGCATTTTGTCTGCTTTTAATTAACTGATGAACCAGGGCATCAACTCCTCCTCCTCTGTGTTAATTTTGAAAAGCAAATTTTTGTGTTCTAAAATTACATTGGGATGCATGAATGATTTCAGCATCACTTTCATCTATGGCCAAATGAGCAGCAGCAGCTGAAATCCTTAACATGATTTGAGGTAGCAAGGGCTCCTTCTTCACAGGTTCGATGCCTCAATCACCATGTAAAGGAGCTCACAATATGGGCTGTGCCTGTGTGTGCACAGCGCTGCTTTCTGCACCTTTTGGTGATCTGGAAATAACCTGATGGAGTTGAATTCAGGAGGTAGTGTGCTTGCTCTAGAACGGGCACCCATGACCTAAAGGAAGTCCTGCAGCTTCTGCTGTTTCACGGAGCTGGCTCCACGCTTCCGAACGCGGCTCAGATATATATGTATCTGTACATACGTGTACACAACGTGGTACATAAAGCTTCAAAGCTCCACTGTTGCTAGGGTTTGCCCCTGGCAGCTATGGGCTGCTGGTGTGCAAACTTTTGGCATAGCCAGCAGCACTAAAAACAGCAAAACAATCAACAAGGAGCTGATTTCTGCTATTCGGTTCGGTATTTAATTCAGCAGCATTCTCTACTTAAATAATGCTGTTGCGAGTGGACTGCCATGTTTCATAAACCAGAGACTTGCTTAGTGTAGGGATTTTGAGAAAAAATATGTCTAGATTATGGTGGAATATCTGTGTTTTTCGTAGACCAGGGTAGCAAGAAGCCATTAGCCGGAACATTTTTCTAATTTTTTCCTCCTTGGTGGCGATTATGAAAGTTTGGACGCAACTAACCCAGCCATTGTTCCTCTCTCCTCACAAATAAAATCCCGTGATGTTTGCTTGCAGAAAACATGGGCAAAATGCATTGGTATGAAAATGAGCTTTGCCACAAACGACACTCCTGCTGCTGTGACACAACTTGCAGATGGTGGATGCTGGAGTTTGCGCTACAAAAACTCAGGAGTATGAAAACACCTGATCTGTCCACAGCCTCTCGCCAGGGTGCTGTAGGCCAAACCGTGGAAAAAAACACAGCGCTTAAGCCGTGCTGCACACTGAGGGGAACGCACACACAGTAACGGCAATGGGGGCCGCTTGCGGCCTGGTGTAACGGCAGAGAAATGCCAGCAGGGCCAGCGCTGCCGCCCGGAGCCCACCGCGAAGGCCGCAAAGCCCTCTCTGGCGAAACGGGGCGGTTCGGGCCGCCCACGCCGGGGCTCGGGCAGACGCCCTGCTCGCCCCCAGGCCGCGCCGACCCGTCCCGCCCGCTGTCCGCACTGCTTCGAACCGACACCCGCTCCGCAACCGCGGGGACGGCCGGTGCTGAGCTCAGGCTACCAGGCGAGTTCCAGCCGCCACCGGAGCCCGGCTTCCCCACCGAGGGGGCGGCCTACAGCGCCCGGCCCGGCCCGCTCAGCCGCCGGGACCCCCTCCGCCGCCCCCGGGCCACTTCAGCACCCTGGCCCAAACTCCGCCCCTTCAGCACACGTCACTTCCGCGGTAGGTAACCACGCCCCCAGCGCCCCGGTGTTTCCGGGGTGAGAAGCGTCGCCTCCGCCGCGGGCGGAGGGGGCGGGGCCGGAGGGAAGGAGGGGCGCGCGCGGGGGCAGGGCGTTAGGCGGGCGGGCCAATGAGAGGCGGAGGGGGCGTGCTGGGGGCGGGGCCAGGGCCGTGGCATGTGTCGGGGCGCTGGGCGGCCCGGTCCTGCTCCTTCCCCGAGGGGCCGCGCTGAGGCCGGGCGTGCGGCCGCCTCCGCCGGGCTGAGCGCCTCTTCCGCCCCGCTGCTCTGCGGCCGTGCCCTCCGCCGGCCTCCACCGCGTCGTGAGTGCGGGCGGGCGGGCGGGCGGTGGCTCGTCCTGGGCCTGGGGGAGCGGGGAGGCGGGGGACACCGGGCAGGGGAGTCTCCGAGAGGGCGTCCGCGGAGCGGGTGTCGGTTCGAAGCAGTGCGGACAGCGGGCGGGACGGGTCGGCGCGGCCTGGGGGCGAGCAGGGGTTCGGCAGCCGTTGCCATCAACTGCCACATAAGTTGCAAATAAATTTACAAGTTGGCACCCCCCCTCCCCCTAGCAGTGGTGGGAGGGAGGAGGAGATGGCTCTGCAGGCACTCCCCCCCCCCGCAGTGCAACGTGTCCCTGCTCGTAGGTGACTTTGTTCCCGGGGAGGGGGGAGCGGAGGCAACTCGGTTTCGTTGCGGGGAGGAGAGCCGATTGACTCAGCAAGTCATTCACTGCCTGAAATGTAGCGTTTTTAGGCCCTGAGCAGTAGGGTGTCTGTAGCACATCACCCTTGTGCGTGGCATCGCAGGTATGTAAATATGTCTTGTGTCTGAGTGAATAACATCGGGTGTGTACCATTGGGATTACCTCTGTAAATGGAATCTGGCTTGGTGTGGTGTTACACTGAAACCTTTTTCATCTCATTGTACCTTAAGCGAAGGTTTTCAGTAGGTTTAACTGGACCCTGGGTGATGTTAGCAAGGTGTCAGCTGGGGTCCAGTAAACGGTAGGAAGAATAAACACTCTGGCCAAGCTGTCAAATACTGCACGCTGTGGGGACATTCTGCTGTAGAGGATCTTGTTCTGGTAGATTCATTGACTCCTTTAACTTTCCCCTCTGCTGTCTCCCTAACTTTGTCTTCTAGGATTGGCAAAGAAAAATTCTATCTTAGGATCCTGTCAAGCAAGGTGTCTGGATGTCCTACCTACGTGATAGCTGACTGAATCCCTGCCAGGCTCGGTCATGCAACAGAACGCCTGTTTCCTGATAAAGTGAGTTCACTGGCTGCTTACTGGAGGAACAAACCTTTAAAAATACTGATCATCACCACCCTGAGCTAAGTGGCAGCCTTGCTGGGTGAGGTAACCTCGCTGATAGCGAGCGTTTGGTGCCCTTTAGACCTCAGAGGGTTTGTGGCTGATCAGTAGGTTTGAAAACTAGGCTATAAGGCACATGTTGATGCAGTGTCTCTCAGAAGTGCATGTATTTCTGTATTAATCTCACTTACCTATCATAATCATCCACTACTATATACATTAATGCAGTCCATTACATGGTAATGGATAGTTTAGAAGTAATCTATCCGTTTTTATTAGCTTTCCTGTCTGAAGTAGATTAATGCACTTACCGTGCATGTTTGCTGCTTGGTTCTAGTTTATATATAAATATAATATGTGTATACATACATGTATTGTCGTAGTACTTTTCTGGGGGAAATTCCAGACTGCATGCCTCTTTAACAAGTTGGTGCAGACATCTTTATTTTTTGTTTTAATTGTAAATTCCCTGATGGATTTATAAACCCATCTGCCAGAAAATAGACTTTGCATCTGGTTATCTGCTATTGAAATTCTAATTGGCACATCCATGCAACCTTCAGCCTCTGCCTTCTCAGGGAGGACTCCTGGCACAGACTTTTCAAAGGCGATGGGAATAATTTGCAAGCATAATTTCAAGCTTCAATGCTGAAAAACATCCATGCTGAAGGCCTGATAATGTATACAAAATGTCTGGCTGCATACCCTGGTTTACAGGGTTAGGTAATGTAGCTGCTTACTTTTAAGTGTAGCAGCTGACTTTTTCAGTTGTATGAGACTGACTAAATTTTCAAGGCAAAATGCTGCAGGGACTTTTAGGAATGGAGCTCTTTGTTTAAAGCAGTGCATGCTGGAAATGTCCAAAACTTTACTTGAAGAAACCGTGAAGAATTGATTTGTTTGGGTAGAGTTTCTTGTCTCTTTTTGTGTTTGGTTTTGTTTTTTTTTTTTGAAGGCATGGATAAAACTCGTATCCATTAAGCTTTTAGTATAGTTCTGCTGATGTCTCCCCGTGCTTTGACACACAGTGTTAACCCAGCACCTTCTGTGTATCGTCGCCCACACTTGAACACAGCTTTATAAACCGAAAGCGCCATAAGGCAGGTCCAGCAAGAGTTTATGCCAGCATATTTGTGGCAAAAAATTATGGGTGACCTGGATGTAGGAGGAATAAACCTGTTGCTCTGCTGCGTTCCCTCGCGCTGGGTGAATCGCAGCGGCTGCTCCCACCCTGGCTGACGTCTGTGTTCCGAATGATGCTGGGCTTATGGCTCAGAGCAGTGCACGGATGGCTGGGTGTCACCCACACGCGTTTTCTCACAGCCCTCATCTCCATATGGAGATCTCCCACATGGCCTGCATGCGTGTGCTGAGCAGCCGTGCTCAGATCCATCTGCTCCGACCTGGTTCTGCTCTCATCGCTGGACCCCACATAGAAGCGTGTTCAGGCACCGCTAATGCCTGTTTTAGATTTATCCTTGCCCTTTAATTGTTGCTTTGTGCTTGATACAAACATCTAATAGCATGAGCAATGACGCACTGGGAAAGCTGGAGGAAAAAGTGGACAATTCAGTGGCACTTGCCTGTAGGTCCTCAGTGGCCATGCATTGCTATGGCTCCCTTGCAGAGCAGTGACAACCCATACCAGCTGGCTGTTTGCCCTTTGAAATATTTCAGTTGGGATTGTGTGCCTTTCTGAAGTTTCTGAAAGAAGTTTCTGAAGTTCATCCCCACAAACACAGAGCTGGTACAAAGTTCATTTGTGCAGTAGATGAGATACCCTTCCAACCTTCCCCCCACCCCCAGCACAGTAATTGCTGGATGAAACTCTGTGGCTTATGCTGCACCAGGAGCCAAACTAGGTGTTCTTTGTGGCTTTTTTCCTCCTACCCTTAAAAGGTCTGGGAGGGCAGTATCCTTATTGTGTGTGCTGTTGCTGGATGCCATCTGGCTCAGCAGGGTTCCTTCCCTTCCCGGCTTCCAGCCTGTCCTGCAGGTGTAACCATCGTACCCCACCTGTCAATGATACCCAGGGGAAGGACTACCAAAGGGCTGTTGACTTTGTTGACTGGGAAGCCAAGAAGTCCTGTAAAGTAAACTTTCTTTTGTGTTCGTTCCTCCTGTCAATTCTGCTCCCTTGGACTAAAGTTGTGGTTCTCTTTCAACAGCTTAGACTTGGAGGAGTCAGTGGAGCTTGTGAGTTGACAACTGGGGCATAAAGGTGCTGCTGGCACTGCAGGGACAGTAGCAATGCAGAAAATGAGTGCAGGCAGGAGCACTTTCTTGTGCATTTTGGAAATGTTGTTTGCAACTCCTTCAGGTTTTGACTGCTGGCAATCCAAGGAGGTCACTGTGCAGGTAAGGCGCCCAGGGTGCCTGTGGTACAGCAGTCTATTCAGGAAAGGACAACATGTCTCCAGTATGTACAGGGGACCCCCTTCTTGAAGAAATGTCTGCATGGACATTGATGCTTTTTCCTGTGAGCAAATTATCCAACAAAAGCAAGTGTCAAGAAGTGCAGAAGTGGGTTTTAAGGTGTAGTGGCACCACGCGCTTGCCTCGCTGGTGTGTGAAGCAGCACTTAGCTGCTTGCTGTTGTGCTTTCTGGCTTCCTCATTGCTTTGGTTCTTTAAGTGTATTCGTGGAAACCCTGCATTCAGCTGGTGGCTCTTCTGTGCAGTTATTGTGATTATCACTGGAAAGAGGTTTCCTCTGAGCAATTTTGAGTGTCGATCAACGTAGGTGCCAAAACTTCTGGCAGTCTTCCATTGCCTTTTCTGGCTTTGTTTTTCTTTGCTGTTGTGGGCTCGGCCTCAAGGATTAGATCTTGGGTTTCAGTGCTGGGAGATGGGGGTGCTACTGCGCTGACACCATGTTGGTGCTGTGCAGTGTCGTTGGACAGGACTGAAACCTGGTACCCGATGGCTGCGTTGTCGTGGGAGAGCTAGTCTTCAAATGCACTTTGCAGAACGTGAGATCTCTGGAATGACAGTGTGAGAGCCTGTATTTTCCATCATGTCCTTTCCTCCCAGCTCACGTGGTAACTTGGCAGCTGTTTGGAAAGCACATTGGGTGCTTGTTTGGTTGTTTGTTTTTGGTTTTTTTTTCTTGTAGGAAAATGTTGTATGAAGAAAGGAGCAGAGGGCAGAGAGCCAGGGACTGGGGTACTTGTTTATTTGCGACCAGCTGGACCACCCCTCAATGCATGTGGCAGGACCCACAGTCCATCTGTACATCATGCACCTGCTTGAGGAACCAGCTGGGTCCTCCATTTGAGCAGGAAGTTAGGTCTGCACAGTGGGTGCGGGTTGCAGTTGCTCACCCAGATTATCTCTGTACATCACCACAGCTCCTGTCACCTTTGCTTGGGGAGCCTCAGTTGAGCTGCGTTCCCTAAAGGACAACAAAATTGTGCTCTGCAGATGTGACTATGGGGTGCCCAAGCTCCCATAGCTATCTCCTTATTCCCTAACTACACAGAGAGGGAAGGTGAGGTTGTCTGTGTACAAATGCCACTTTTTTTATTTTATTGAGGCATTCAATAAGTTCACAACCATCACTGCTCTTGCTAATAATGACCCTCTTGCCTCTGACAGTCCAGGAGGGCATTGGAATTGCCTTCCCTGAGCTCCAGCTGACTTGGTGCCAGGCCTGGAGAACTGCATTTTCAGCAAAACACCTGAGCGAATACTTCAGACAAGGCGTGCTACTTTTAGATTTCTTTTATTTAAAAAAAAAAAAAAAGCAGTGACAAAAAAAGTGATTTGATGAAATTTGCATTGAATTTTGCATATATATTTGTGTTGGATTTATATTTGTTTGGCTTGGGGAGGCTTTGCAGCATTTTAACTAAATCTGGGTTTAAATCCACTTAAGTTAAACTCCCAGTACAACTTGTGTGTGGAGACCAGGATGAAATCTCATTAATTTTAATAGGATTAAGCGTGTTCTTCTGCTGAGTCGTCTTCTCTATCTTTCTTTTTTGGCTTCTCTGTATTGAAAAGCAGGATAAACCTTACCACTCTTCCATCTCTTTGTGAAAACACTTTGACAGTCTAGAGAAGTGGCTTTCTGGTTGCATACAATAATATTTTACACTTTTTCTTTCTGTGCTTTCAGCTGCAGTCTTACTGTATCCAGGCTTTTATTGGCTTTTGCTTCTAAAGGTGCAATAATTCCTGGCAGCAAGAAAACAGTTACAAGGGTTTGCATGGTAAGTTTCTACACTCAATTTGTTTGATTTCCCTCTAGATGGATTTGAAACTGCTGAAACAAGTCAGTTAGTAGAGGGAAACTTTGTAGAAGTTAGCAGAAACTTAAGCATGTGAGGATGGATGGGGGCAAAATTCATCCCTATTCATGAAACAGGAATACATTGAAGAACAGGGAACAATAGTAGAAGTGTTAGAAATGCAAACTGGTTGAAGGGGAATATTGGGGACCCATTTAAGATCAAGCAAGCCATTAACTGGAGAGAAAGCTACTTTGTGCATTTGTGTTACCTCTTTACTTCCTCATTTCTTGCTGTACATCATTCCCTGAATCTTACTATTGACTATTTTTGATTTGTATGTGATTTATGTTATAGGACCACCCTCTTCCCCCTCCTTCAGAAAAGACAAACCCCACAGCAGGTATTTCTGGATGTTCCTGAGATGCTCTTGATGGCACTCTTATTGAATATATGCTTTCATAGGAAAAGAGCTGTCTTGTAGCTCATGTACTAAGCTGGATTTCAAGAGGCTTGATTTTCATTTCCAGCTCTGACAGTTCTTCCTATAGCTATATACAAATCTCTCAGTCTTCTCATGCCTCTTTTTCAACCCTGTGAGATAAGGGAAGGTTGGTCTCTCTTATCTATGCTCTGCTCTTTCAAATTGATACCCTGTTGTGCTGTGGACTGACCCATGTTACAAAAATTTGGTTGGTGTATTTGTGTCAGCAAAGCTCCTTTGCATCATCATGCTTTTGATGAAACTTTACATCATCAGCATGTCTTTTTGTTGGCAGTGCCATCTCGACTTAAGTTCCCATATCTAATTAAAAAAGGAGAGCACAGTGGCAAAGAAGCTCACTAATTTTTTTTGCCATAAGGTAAACAGGAGATTGGCTTATTAAGGGGGTTAAGGATGGGAGCTTCTGATGGGTAAAAAATGCCCAGTGACAAGTTGCTTTTCTCCATGTACAAGCAAAGAGCATTTACTCCTTGGATCTGTACCCACACTAAATGGGTGCTAGTCTAATTGTCAACTTAGTAAACAATAAGTATTGTTATAAATATTTTTTTCTGCCGTTCCTGGTTATGCTGATCAGGGTTTTTCCTGCTGCAACCAGTTTTCTTTTCAGTTTTCATTTCTTCCTGTTTCTAAAGCTCCTTATATCCTAGCTGATCTTGAAAGATATGTTGTCACTAGGATTTCACAGCAATTTCTGTGAATCTTCATGTGGGTTTCTGACACTCTTTGATTGACCTGATGGGGCTTAAAAAAGGAGTAATGTGCTTCCCTCCTTTAAAAGAAAACATTCTATACCCAGTCTCCATTTAAAAAAAAAAAAAATTGTTTGGAAAATATCCTTTTCATGAGCATGACAAAGTGCTGGGACTGTAGGCATGACCAGATGGTCTGAGTGTGAAAACTTGAGGCTAGCTTTGAAAAGAGCAAACACCCCCAGGTGTTTTTTGTCATTACTCCTTTGTGTTAATGAATTCTGAGTATCTAGAGCTTTACAAAATGTGCAAGACCTATTCAAACTTTCCAGTCCCTTTTTATGGCAAGGCTCTTGTGGGATAGTCGCAGTAGCTTCCTTGGTTTGTGATACAGATGATGTAGGGTCTTTACAGTATTTGCTTAGGCTGATGTAGAACTGTTAAGCCTGATGTATCTCAGATGCTTTCCATGCCTCGAAATGGCTTTGTTTGCAAGAGCAGAAGCTCGTGTGTTGTCTCAACATGGTGTTGCTCTGCAGAGCTCCTTTAGAAAGAAGTGCAAGTGCTGTGGCTGAAGACCACCTCTCACCTGTTAATGGAGCATATGCCCTTGAAGGTGACAATTCTTCCTGACAAGTGTATTAAGCAGTATCAAATGGTCATTAGTGTAGTCCATATGAACTGTCTTTCATTTCTACATTTGTAGAGGCTTCTGTTCTTGAATTGGTGTTGCAACTTCTGTTCTGGGAGTCTCTTATGAGGAAAGACTGAGAGAGCTGGGACTGCTCAGCTTGGAGAAGTGAAGGCTCAGGGGGATCTTATCAATTTATCTAAACACATGAAGGGAGAGTGCTCTTCTCAGTGGTGCCCAATGGCAGGACCAAAGGCAATGAACACAAACTGAAACACTCGAGGTTCCCTCTGAACATCAGGAAATGCTTTCTCACTGTGCAGGTGACTGAGTCGTGGCACAGGTTGCCCAGGAAGGTTGTGGAGTCTTCTGGAGATACTTAAAAGCCGTCTGGAAATAGCCCTGGGCAGTTGGCCATAGGTGGCACTGCTTGAGCAAGGGGATTGGACCAGATGACCTCCAGAGGTCCCTTCCAAACTCAACCATTCTGTGATTCTGCGAAAATTTGTGCAGAGCGCTTCATTAATATCTACCGGGAAGTCATAACTCTCGCCAAGAGACCTGGTGCAAAATAAACATAGTTTGCATGGTGTAGGTTTCCATGTCTCTAGAAGTGCTTCTGGCCTCTAGAAGTTCTTCTGGCGAGACTTACTCTCATGGAACTGTATGTCCACAAACACCACTATTTCTGAGCCTCTATTAAAAATGGTGCAGTGGACATTTGATCAATAAGAGCCGAGGAACTTGTTCATCAGTCGGCTTACTGTGCTGTGTTAGTGGACCTTAAGTGCATGAGGCTATCTGCATGAGGTAGAAGCAGAGGTCTAGTCTAGTACAGTACTGTCTTCAACAGTGATCAGTAGTGTTGGATAGAGACATCTTGCAACACTTAGTATCATAAGACACTATGGCAGCTCAGTTATAAGCCAATATCCTCCCATTATTCCCTTTCTCTTCAAATCTTTTGTGCGTGTTGCATAGCAGAGGCCCTAGCACAGATCTCTAGAGCTTCAATGATGGCCACTTGTCCTCATGAAAACCTACAGGTTCTTTCTGCTTTGTTTCCTTTTCTAATCAATTACCAGTCCATACAAAAGCCTTTGTGTGTAGCCAACAGCATCTTGGTTTGCATTAGAACTTTGAAATAGTCCCTTACCAAAGACCTTTCTACAAATCCACATGTAATGAATAGCATCCAAGATTTTAGATAGGAAAGATAACTTCCTGCTACAAAAGCTGTGTTGACTCTGCCTGAAGCCATGAAGCAAGGCGGTAATTGACACCAAGAGCAATTATATTTTCATCTATGATGTTGTTTTTCAAGGGATGGCCAACAGGCTTACATTTGCCTTGTAGATATGGCAGGATCCATGTGTTCTGGCTGCAGTGACCATCTCTGAGATGGCTTGCAGGCATGTGCTGTGGCTGAAATGCATCACTGACGACATCTGGAGTATACCTGGCTCTAGTGGCCACATCTTGGGCAGTGAAGCTAGCAGAGGAATGCAATGTCGTGAGCCTGCCAGTGGTTGCATAACTTAATTTTATGTAGGTCACAGGTTCCATTAGTTCTGCGAGACTTACTCTCACGTATAAAGTTAAAATATGTGCTTTGTGTGTTTGAAGAATTGCTGCCTACGGCAGATATGCTGACATGGAAACAGCTGATAACATTCTTCAGGGACACTTGCTGTTTGAGTTTGAGAAGCACGTGGCCTGGATGGAGCTGTAATGCAGATGGCTTTTGTTACCAGCTGACTTGAAAAGCACAGAAGTTGGGTTTGTTTTTTGTTTCGCAAATGGGTTTTTACTGGATCTGGTGTATTCACAGATTCCCGTTTGTTGCTTTTCTGTCCATTGCAAAGGGAGCAAGGATTTTTAGGCTTTGAAAATCTTGCTATGTCTAGAAGTTGGATATGTGTTGATGCAGTGAAATCCATTCAGTGAATAAACAGCTGTAATAGAAGTGCATTTCTGGTGCTGATAGCCCATCCTCATAAGGAATATCTGAATGAAAAAATTTTTGAATAAAATATGTACAGAAAATGCTGGTGAGGTGGGGAGCTTTGTGAGTTTTGGTTGCTTTTTTTTTTTTTTTTTCCCCTGCAGGTTTTGGCAAGCAGGTCTTTCTGGGTGGTATGTTCTCCACTTGGTCTTTGACCCCTCTGAAAGTGGAAACAGATGCAATGCAAACAAGTGGGCAAGCTGTCCTCTGGGAGTTGACTCAAAACTGCAAACCCTTCTGCTAAATGAGCTCTTAGGTTATTGCATGTCTTGAGACAAATTTGTTTGCAGACGCATATTGAAATCAGTAAGATTACACCTGCAGAGGTTCCTTCTGGAGTTAAAACGCATGCTCCAAAGTTGTGATTCATTGGTTATATCCCACGGTGTGCTCATGCATTCACATGTACAGTTGTTTCTGAGTCAGATACAGTGAATGACATCCAGTGAACATGCAGCTCTAACACTGGATTTCATATGGCAATTCAAGTTGGACTTGTTTTTCTGATGTCTTGTTTTTAGGGTCCTAAATGTAACCTAAATGTTAATTCAAGTGTGAATTATTTAATTCTTGGCATGTCTATTGTTTTGTATCTGATTTCATTCAGTTACAGCCTGTTCTACCTCTTGTTTCCTGACCTATAATGGTGTTCTGCTGCGATCTGATGATATCAGACAGGTTTGCATTGGATTATGTTGGAGCCCAAGTATTCAAAACACCATTTGGCATATCGAAGCGAGCAGTATTAGTGGCTAGTGGTAAGTGAGCAGTACTTGCAGTGTGCCTTTCACACGTTTGTCCTTATCCTTGTTTTTGTTGTCTGTGCTTGGACAACCTCCCCCTGACAGTCTTCACTTAGATAATTAGTGCATGCTGAGCTCATCTTTGCACCAGGGTGGGCTGTTCTTGCTAGTATTTTGGGTTTTCTATTTCTCCGTTCCTCATTACATGATCGGAGCATCTTTGGCATAAAATCAGTAGCCAGAAGTTTCTAATGGGTTCAGTCTGTGCTGCTGACCAGAAGATGCACAACTTCTGGAGGAGGAAGAATAACCTCTTGCTTTTTGTTTTGAGTCCAGGTGTTACAAGTTGAGAGAGAGGTTTCAACTTTGGTTTTTTCCATATTATGTTGCTGTACTGCTGAGCAAAAATTGAAGACTGAGAAAAGCACAGAGGCATGCAGGAGTACTTCGGAAAATATCTGTATTCAGACCCCATTCTGTGAAATACAGAACATGAGAGAGATCATGGGTAAACATATACTGTTTTTCACTTCCGTGTCTTTGATATAAGTTAAACAGATGTTTGTGGTAGTTGTAATAGCTCTTGGTGAGCTGCTCTGCTGACTGTAGATGCCCGTGGTATTTGGGTAACCCTATGGAACAGTTTTGGAGTCCCCATTAGCAGCATCATCAGCAGACAGATAGACAGATGGACCTTGCATATGGAGCTCAGAAAGGTTCAGAAGGACCTGCTACTGCTGTACAGTCCCTCTTCCATGTGCACCCCAAAGGGATGCTTTGTACAAAGACATTTGGGCTGATAAAGCTTTGAGGAGCTCAAACCAAGCTTTTTTTTTTTTCTTTGACCTATTAATCATGTAGCATTAGGACTCAAAACTTAAATAAGTTCCTCTGAAACTGAAAAGAGGGAGCCTAGAACAAGGTAGGAGAGCACAATTACTGCCCTGTTGCTGCCTCGGAGACACAAGACCTGAGAGCTGGGCTGAAGCACTTCTACAAATGTTCCCGTGGCAGCCATGGACATTCATGAGAGTATGGAGAAGGGAGGGTGTTTTCCCTTTAGGTTCTTATGGCCCATAGGTTTAAATTCAGGTTGGTGCATGACTTGAAGACTTACTGGCTATGAAGAACCTACCAGAGGGAAGGCCAGCAAGAATGAGGAGAGCTGCTACCGCATTCGGTTATTTCTTTGTTAGGAAAAAAATAGACTTGGCTAAGCTTCCCCACCTACCCTGACCATGTGATTTCCACATCTTTCAGGCTGTCAAAATCACAAAGCAGGGAGGCATGTGCCAGCAACCTTCGTTTGGTATTGCTGTAAATGTCATCCTGGCTTGGGCAGTTTGTGAAGAATCTTTTGATTTGTGCTAACATATATATGGTGAAAAGCTCCCCGGTATCATATTGTGTTGTGATAAGCTGGAATGTCTTTTCACTGCATCTTGTCTAGCAGACATTCCATATAAACCAGCCTTTGTTTTGTAGCTACAGCTGTTAGCTTAAAGAGAAGAAACCTTCTATAGTCTAGGAGCCTTCAGGTATTTTTGCTTGTGAGGCTAACTGGAGGTGGAGGCACATATCTTCCGGTTTGTTATTTTTTTGTTGTTGTTGTGTTTTTGGTTTGTTTTTTTAATTTTCCGTAATTCAGGAAATGCACAAAGATCCTATGTCCTTGCAGAAAGGAGAAATAGCCAAAAATGCTTTCCTTCTTTCCAATTCTTTTAGCACTGAGCAGAAGTTCCCCTTCAGTCATTGCACCAGGACCATGTTTTGGCTGTCCAGGCTCTCTGATCTTTCTTCTCTGTTCCTAAGCTCTCCACAGCATTGCCTGATGCCTTTGTAACATATGGTGCCATCACTGCTGTGCGTGATCCTGCTCAAAACTATGCACAGGCTTAAATTCCTGAACAAACTTGCAGAACCTTGTGTTCTGGATGAAGACGTGTCTTCTGCTTCTACATGCCTAAAATTAGTATTACAGCTACGCGAATCTGTAGAGAAGCATAATGATTTCTCAGAAATATCTGGAATAAAAGATAGCATTGAAACTATCAACTTCAGTGAAATTTAACTTGACCTGTATTGCTAGGAAATTGCTGACAGTGGTAAAATTCTGCAGGGCAGGAGGTGGGTGGGTGACCAGACTTCAACACATTGGCAGTTTTATTTGCTCCAAAAGTAACACTTGGTTAATTGTACCTTCAGGCTGAAGTCACTGCTTGTTTAAGTGTCTGTTAGCTCCAGACTTGGCAGTTTTGAATTTAATAGCACCTCGGACACAATTTATTCTTGTGTGTGTATGCTGTGCTGGTTCTAGCTTCTAATGCCATCTCTCACCAAGTGTAAAGCACCCATGCTGCAGAGTATCTGCTTCTGCACACACTTAGAGAAACCCAAATCACAAGCTTGCCTTTTACCTTTCCTGATCTCCTTTGCACTGTATTAGCTCCATGGCTGCAGAGGTCATGTGGGAGCCCGCTGGGATGGTTCCTTTGAGGGTCTTGTTGAAAGCTGTTTAATTTGAAACACGTGGTATGAAACACCCTGGATGTGATCTCCTGTTCCCATGAGACAACAGCATGTCTGAAAATTTGCTAGCTGCTTTGGGTGTGGATCAGACCAGGGAAGGTTGCAGTCGAGCCATACTGCACATTTTTATTGCTTGGAGGTACTTTTGTTGACAGATTTATTGTCCAGTCACAGCTTTATGCAGTTAGCCTTTGGCAGTTCATTTTTCTTTATATTAAAACTGGATTGTTTCACATATTCCAAAACAAGCCACATTTTCATAAATGAAATAGCTGTCTGGCCATTTTTCACAGGAAAAGTGTCCCGCTGAGTAGTACTTCTCACCATCTGAACTGCAGAACATGGCACTAATATGAGTGAGAAAGGATGATGGATGGGTGATGCTGATTTGGGGGTTTTAGGCTTTAACATTTATTTTCTCAGAGGCAAAGTGTGATGGCCATGAAGCCTCAATGGTGCCAGCGTGGGCTGTCCTCGTTAGTGGGGTAACAGATGCGTAAGCTGTCTGCCTTGTGCCCTGGGAGAAGAATGCGGGTGGGGAACTGAAGCACAGGAAGATGGAGATGGGTAAAGCTGTTAATATTCAAAACAAAATTAGCTAAAAAAGCCCACCCACAAAAACCACTGTGGCTAAATGTGCCAAAGATTGAGAGTCTGAGCGCTGCATCACTTCCACGGGAAGCTGGAAGCGGGGAAGAAGCCTGGGCTCAGATTGTGTCACTGTCAGATATGGGCTTTAACCACTAAAACCTCCTTCCCCTCTGGATTCCTGGTAGGGAAAAGAAAATTGACCAAGCCCCTGCAAATCTTGAACCTGAAGAATATACACCACTTCAATATCTGTGTGAATGAGGCCTGCTCTTCAGAGCCTGCAGTTAATCCACCTCTTAGATGGAAATGGCTTTCCGTTTCTTTTGTGGGAGTGTGGTGATGGTGACCTTGCAGAGCTGCTGTTCCTCATGAGCTTTGCACAGCCTTGGCCCTGTGTAACATAATGTGCCTTTGTCAGCGTGGAGCCTGAAGTGCTTTATACTTGTGAAAGTTTCGTGTGTTGGCCAAGTCCAAGTGTGATCACAGAGTTTCTCAGCAAAACTTGGCGTTTCTCCCCTTTGAAAGAGACTTTAAGGTGTTTGTTCTATTCATGCAGAGCATCTTGAAAGTCCTGATCTATTATGTTTGGCCATTTACAAGCAGAAGAACGGATTTTCTTGCAGAGAGTAGTATTACTTACAGAAAACAGTTGGAGAAATACTTTAGCAGCTGCAAACTTATTTTTAAAAACACTATTTCCACACAAGTCTTCCCGGAGGATGCAGCAACCTTCTCAGAAGCTGTCTGCTCAGTGACATTGAATTGTTCCTTGCTCTCTGGCTTAATAACTCCCATCAGAGTTGGTCAAATGTGAATCTAGAGAGGGTGTGTTGGGTGTGCTGAGCAAGGATGTTGTCTCTGCTCTTTTGACTATTGTTTGCAGCTGTTGGTGTCTCTTGGCTCATTCACTGAAGCTTGTAGATGCTGCCGTGGGCATCACAGTCACCTTTCCTGTGGGGTGTGTGTCATGCAGGTTGATGGGAGATTCTGCCATAGGTGGTGACTACACTACAAACTGAAAGAGGTGTTGTTCTTAACAGGTTCCAGTGTGGTGCAGTCTGTGTGGACTTTTTGGCTTTGTAAAATTTTTAAAAATCTGTTCTTTTTGTGGACATGTATGAGGAGAAATGTCAAAAAAAGGCAGCACAGCCCAAACCGATGTCCATCCAATACCCTATTCAGCCTGCTGAAGTGAGGAGTGTGCCTGCTAATGTGGAGGGATGTGTCAGCTCTTCTGTAACACATGGCCAGCTGTGTGGTGTTACGCTCTGAAGAAGTTGTGTGGTAGGAGAAGGTCTCCTGGACCTAAACTGGCAATGTTTCTTCTCCAAAATGACATTTCAGAACATGTGTTACTTGTGTCCTACTGTTGCAGCAGATCAGTCTCAAGCACTCTGCTGGCTTCTTGTCAGCCCCAAGTGTTTTCAGATCCAGCTTGTTGGTCACCATCCTAGCCTGTCTGATGTACTCACGAGATAAGACTCGGTGATTTCCAGGCACATTTTCCTTCAAAACTCCCTCTGAAAGTATGGAACTGCGTATGTCCCACCTCAGTCATCCTCCCAGAGGAGCATTTTGTCAATACTGGAAATGGTGAGGTCATGGAGAGCCTGTATTGGGGCAGCAAATGGACTTTTGGCTGTTATATCCTGGATTTTCTAAGGAACTGGGAACGGTTCATGCTGTGCTGGTGTCTTGGGAAGTCAAAGGAACTGTGTCCAGACCAGGGTACTAGTAATGCACTTCCTCCCCTGCAATCTCTAATGTTTCTCTGCTTCGCAACCTCTGTTCAGATTGTTCTTCATTGTTGGTAGCACATGACATTTTGTAGAAACAGCTTTGTAACTTTCTTCGGGAGCCAAAAGAATGTAAGGGCTCTAAAGCTGCCGTTCAGAGAATGATATAATTTCATCTGGTCATGCTCAGCTGACAGTGGGTCAGCCTCATGTTCCTTGCTGCTGGCTCTTCTGTCTCCAGACCTTTCTACATGTGCAGCTTCAGCCTTGGAGATAAGCTTGGGAAGCCAAAAGCTTCTCAAGATTACAGCACTGATTCCTTGCCTCCTGCATTCTAGCCTTGCTTCACAAAACGATATGTGCTTGTCTTCCCTTAGCAAAATATGGTTAAAATGTGTTTTTGTAAAGAATGAACTGTAGAACTTGTTTTCAGAGCTGACAACACATAAAGTGATTAGCAGCGATTGCAAGTTGGAAACAGGCCTTACGTTTTCTCAGTTTTATAGGACAGTAGCATCATTGTCTGTGAAAAGTTATTCCACCCTTGTTTCCCCTGCTTTGTTGTTATACCAAGAATAGAAGATTTCTTTGCAGCTCTTTGACCTTATTTCATGCCTAGTCTGTGCATTCTTGTAAGTATGAATTTTGGGGCAGTGTTTGTTGGCTCTTTGATGACAGCTCAAAGGAGCATGTTGTTGCCCTAAATGCTTTGTTTTGCTCACTTTGTACCTGTGATCTCTAACACGCACAGTCTGTCTTTCCATGGTTTTGGGGTTTTTTGTCTAGTTCTACATCTCTCCTCCTGCCTTGGTGCAGCCACTGCATGTGCCTTGCAGCTGCTTAACCAGGAGCAAGTCAGGCTGGCTGGGAGGGCATGGGGCAAGGGGTTTATGTTCGAAAGGCTTTGCTCTTACAGCATCACCCTAATCATTGTTGTTTGAAATGCTTTGATTTTTGTTGTTGTTGTTGTTAATTTTTTTTTATTTTGGCACAAATTCCTTGGCTGAAGCACAGGGAGATCAGCAAGGAGGGAGGAATGCTTCTGAAACCCAGCAAGCAATGCCCTCTGGATACGTGTGTGTGTACATTGCAAAGTCATCAGTCACTCAGTTGTTGATTCAAAGTTATTCTGGTTTTCCAGTGGGCTTGTTCCCTGCTGAGTTATAGCCACATATGGTAGAAGTAAACTTTGTGTTTTTCAGAGTGTAGTCCTTACCTAGATTGTATTTGTTGCTGTCTTTTGTGGTTTGGTTTGACTTTTAACTTCCTTGGGGATGCCATACAGATGGAGAAGGTAGTGCTCAATGAGTGAATTTTGCCCTTTTTTCTGAGAATTACTTCTGATGGGAACAGTAGTGTTTATCTCTTCCTCTGTGTTGTCTCCAACAGCCAGGGGTGGGTGCTCAGTGGGGTCTCTGAGTACAAATGGAGCCATGTGGGACTGGCTGGAAGTGTGATGGGAAGGCAGAAATAAAGCTTATTTCTTTTAAGCTTGTAATTATAAAAGGCAGTTGTTAAGTTGGGAAAAGCGATCTGCAAGTAAATGTAGCTCTTGTTCTGGGTGTATGGGATTGTGCTAAGGTGGAAGAGGCTAAAAAATTCCAATCCCCAGCTGGAGGTTTTGATATTTAATACAACATCCCAGGCATCATCTGGACTGCATTAAGATATGACTGCATCTGGTTATCCCCTTGCTGGACTTGGAAATAAGCTGTTTGCTTGTCTGCTGTACTTACAGTCTGTGTATTGTGTTTGTCTACTTCACGCACTCACTCTGCAATTCATAAAGGTCATTTTTATAATTGGGTAAAGAACATTTAAAATTATTTAAAATTTGTATTTAGCACCTTGGGGGAAGGGATTATCATTGGCCCTGAGGAGACCTTGTTGAGTGAGAGGGAAAAGGGAGACAAACCCTTTGTGTTTGAGCTCAATGTGTCCCCCCCGTAACCAATGCTGGCCTAATCCAGAAAGGCTGCCAGGTGCTTCGGAAGAGGAGAGGGGCATTTACTGGGAGTTTGCTTTACTCTGGAGCTGTTGCAGTCAAGTGGGACCAAAGTCAGCTGTGATGAGAAGAACTTCTGGTGTGTTAATGCGGTTGGGAATACAAAGCATCTCTGCACAGGCGACAGGCAGCCATGTTAATGCAACCACTTCTAGACACTGAGCGTGATCAACATTTGGTCTTACAAATATATGTAGTTCTTGGGTCAGTTAAGATTAATTATAGTATTTATACATAGATATAATGCTGCTATATCTGCATTTCCAAGATGCAATGGGAAATGTTTATTCTTTGAGGGTTGGTTAGTATAACTACAGAAGTATTAGTAATGGTAGGAAAACAACCCCACATATAAGAGAGTACTCTCTGTTCATATGCATTGCTGTTATTCTTTATTATTTTCTTTAAAACAGTAAATGCATACATTATTGCACAGCCAATTCATTCTCAGGGTCACTTCTTAGGCTATAAAATATTGCTTCCTGTAATCCTTTTACCTTGAAAAGGGACAGCAATCAGCAGCCAGACTCTCTTTAATATGTAAAATGTGAAATTTACTCTTAATATGATCTATTTTTTCTTTTTTTCTGAGTCAGATACTGCTTGCTGAATATCTGCCTGTGAACTTTACAAAAAGTGCACTTATTTCTGCATCTTGTAGGTTGACAAATGATGCTCCGAGTGTCTTGGTGAGGTACCTACAGTGTCCGTGAGGGAACCCAAATCCTTTGCTTTAAATGGAAGGTTTCAGAGTTTAAAGCAAAGTTCCTGCTCTAGGAAAAATCTCTTGTGGGCTGAGTATTTCACATCTTTCCTTGCTTTCCCCTTGCTTCTGGTCTTGTCAACTGGAGTTTTCAATGGTTAAATTGCAGCATATGCTAACTTGTGGGAAGAGCCTTGTAATTCAGAACAGTGGGAATAGTATGGAAGTTATCTTGGCTGAATAACACAAATTCATATTACCAAGTCCCTTTGGAAAACACGGGGCTGCTCTCCTGAGCAGGTGATGCCTGCGTACTGTGGTGCGGGGGCTATGGTTGTGTATTGCACGGGTCGTATCCTCTCCTGCACTGATTCTTTCAAGTCCTGCTGAGGTGCACTTGGAAGAGCAAGTGATGAGAAGGAATGAGCGAGGTCAGTTTGCCTTGTGCAAGCGCAGAGCGGAATGGGAGAGCCCGGGGAAGCTGGTGCTGGCTGGGTACCAGGCGCAGGCTCTGGTGCACAGGACTAGATGGGGCTGGTGAGCTGCCTTTCCCCGCCAAGTCTTCTGCTGTCAGGTCAGACTCGCACAAATATTTCCAGCTGCCAGGTGAGGTGACCCAGGCATCAACTTTTGGCTGCAGTGAGAAACCTGCTCGCAGAAAATGATCGTGAAGCGTGCACACTTATTCCAGGGAGAAAGCTGCAGAGGAGCAGAGAAGCTAAGGTCAGTGGTGCACGTACCCCACAGTCCAGTCCTTTTAGGCTGCCTTCCTCTCTGGGAGAGCAGACAATGTAGAAATGTTCCATCTATTCTCAACAGGCAAAATAACTCTCTTTACTAGAATAAATAAAAGTGCAGGAATCATAGAATCTTAGAATGGTTAGAATTGGAAGGGACCTTAAAGATCATCTAGTTCCAACCCCCCTGCCATGGGCAGGGACACATCCCATTAGACCACGTTGCTCAAAGCCCCATCCAGCCTGGCCTTGAACACTTCCAGGGATGGGGCAGCCACAACTTCCCTGGGCAACCTGTTCCAGTGTCTCACCACCCTCACAGTAAAGAATTTCTTCCTAATATCTATTCGAAATCTACCTTCTTTCAGTTTAAAACTGTTACCCCTCATCCTATCACTATACTCCCTGATAGAGTCCTTCCCCATCTCTCCTGTAGGCCTGCTTTAAGTACTAGAAGGCTGCTATAAGGTCTCCCTGGAGCCTTCTCTTCTCCAGGCTAAACAACCCCAACTCTCTCAGGCTGTATTTGTAGGAGAGGTGCTCCAGCCCTCTGATCATCTTCATGGCCCTTCTCTGGACTCACTCTAATGGTCCGTGTCCTTCTTGTGTGGGGGCCCCAGAGCTGGATGGTGGGGGTCTCACAAGAGCAGAGTATATGTTCCCTTTATCTGCCCCACTGCATGAAAGTGCCCTTATGTTAGGGAGGAGGGAGGCTTTGAGTTCCTTAGGGAACTTGTGCAGTGACTACGGATGCTGAGTTTGAGACACTGCATTTTAGTATTGTTTTGTCCCCCTCTTTGACTCTTTAATAGGCCTGTAAGTTGTGTGTCCTCTGCAAAGCTTGGGGTAGCTGTTTGTACTTCACCCTATCTCAGGTTTTCAGGCTAAAACTCAGTTACCCTGTTCAGGGCTTTAGGACGTAGATTAAGGAGGAAAGTTTGGAAACAAAAATTTCATGGTATGAAGCATCAAAATGTTGCAATCCGAGAGTCAAAGCTAATAAGTGTTATCTTCAGCTTTCTTGGAGGAAAAAAAGGGCTATTACTCAGGTTCTTAAATTCACAACTCTGGTTGGGTTTGGAATTGAGAGCTCAGGATGAAACTTCATGCATGGGTGGCTAAATCAAGGTCTTATTTGTGTTACTGATGACTGTTGGATGTTCTTCATTATGCTATTTATTCCATTCACGGATACTGCTCCTTCTGTGGTGTGAATTGCCTTTATGTCTTCAACTGCGGTCACCTTTGAGATGTCATGCAAAGTTGAATCTAAACACTCTTTGAAGGCCATAACATTTCATAACTGCAGGATGAGGACTCAACCTTGCTTCACTGATGAGAAGGAGTGTTGCCCTTTAAGAACTACTTAGGGAAGAGATTTTTCAATTGGTCTGGTTCAGGCTGAACTGTTTGGAAGCTCATGTAAAGCTTTAAAAAGTCTTGAAAACAAGAGGGTAAATCCAGGTAGAAGCTGGTGATGTGCTGTGAAGTCAATGGGAGCTGCTCCGGTGACTTCAAGGATGAGAGCCCATTCATTGGGACAGAGTCTTGTGTGTGCTTTGGTAATGAAGAAAAGACATTGACTATTTATTGTTTTATGTGAGGAAATGAAGGCTTATTGTGGGTGCGAATCTTCTTCAGTAAGAGCTAATGTGTGTGTGTAATGGCTTTGTACACATGGCTTTTGACTTGAGCTGTTCACTGCTGGGGCCTGAGGTAAGAAGAGCAAAGTACCTTTTCCAAAAAAAAAAAGCCTCTCAGTGAATTTGGGAATGGTCTTGTTTTTTCCTGCCTTGTTTTTTTCCTGCCTCTGCATCATTGCCTGTATGTTGTGTATAATGATACTTGCCTGCCTTCTTTTTTTTTTTTTTCTACTCCTGCTGATATGAGTGTGTTTAGTAGAGCACTCTTTTGATATGAATTGATAATTTTTCTTTTTTTTTTTTTTTTAACAGGTATATGGCAGTGGATCTGAAAGTGATATAAGAAAGAATTGCTCCTGAGAAGAGAAGCCTCCCTGCAAGGCCAACCCTGAAGATGTGGACTGCCATTGTATTCTTCCTGCTGATTTCCTTCTGTATATGTGAACAGAGGCTTTCTGTCCTTAAAGGGAGAGGAGTCCATGTAGTGCAAATAAACAGGCTTACAACTGAAAAGCAGTGCAGGCAGGCTTGTCAAAGCCCAGGTGCTTCAGGTGAGGTTCTTGTCCCTTAGCTGGAATTCCAGCTGGGTTTTCTGTTCCTTAAAGGTCTCCTCTGCTCCCCTGACAACTGTCTTTTGTAATTCCAGTTGTTTACAGGCATTTACAGTAATGGCTTCTCTGTGTAGTCCTGTGGTGCTAAATAACTTATGACAGCTTTGGTTAAATTGAATCCAGAGCAACCATTTCCCAGGGCCCTTCTAGCTTCTGTAAGAAACAACATGCATGTGTGCTTGGTGTGCACTGGTAGCGTGCAAACAGTGTTAGGTCACTTGACTTGAAGAATGATTATTCCATGCTGCCAGATGTTTGCAAGTGAACAGTGCTGTTGTAGACAGCTGCACCGGAATGAGTAGTCTTTAGTCATTGGTATTTATGTGTGTTTTTTCTGCCTTAGAAGAAACCAGTTGTATTCTGCAACCCAACATAGGGTTAAGAAAATCTGGGGAGTTAAGAGCCTTCTGCTGTTTATCTCTGAGATGTCTTTAAAAAGCATTAGACTTCTTAATGAGTCTTTCAGAGTTGTCCTTATGAAGGTCCCTATCTTATCTAGCCCCATGTGAGAGTTTGTAGTACCTACAAACTGGTGATGCTGTGGTGAAATGAGATCTTGGCTCAGGTAGATGAATGTTTGACACTCAGATTGATAGGAACATCATAAAGATGCCTTTTTTTAATGCCCTGTAGTTTCAAACCTTTATTTTAAAAATGACATATCCCTTCATAGTGGAAAGAAAGTACCTTTAAGCTAAGCATTTTATTTAGGAGGTAAAATATGAGTGGGTTTGTCTCCCGGGCACCAGAGCTGTGAAAACTTCAGCTTCTACTTTTTAAGTTGGTAAACCCTGGAGAGGTGACACATTCACACTGACTGCTGACTGTTACGGTCTGTAGCACTGCATGTTTGTCTGTCCCACTTGAGAATCTCTAAACACGGTGCACATGTCATCTTCATCTCCTGGTATCTTGATAAGGATAGAAAAGGTGCTATCGGCTGTCTCTTCTGGAGGAGGGACATAAGGAATTTAGTTAGACTGTGATCAGGTCTGGGAAATGATCTGAGTGCATGATTTCCCCTATTGCTGCCTTCAACCACTTTTTTTTTATACCCTTCACCTTGTTTTCTCCTGATGTGTTTTGTACAGAGTAAGTCCAGTTGAGTGTTAGCTTTGGGAAGAGGGGGTTGAGCTTCTAGAATTAGTTGGCCCACTACATTTTCAGCAATCCATGCAAAACTTAAATGCACAAGCTAAACCTTTTACAGGTTTTATGTTCTGTATTAAATCCACTGGAGCAATTTAATTCCTATTTGTTACTTGATGACCAGTCTCTTGCGCTACCTGGTGTCAAGGGAGATGGAAAAGATACAAAATCTTGGCATAAATGTATAGCTATGTGCAGAGAGAGAAAGGCCTGAAATGTCTTTTATCTTTTTTATGATTAGTTTTGGGTTTTAAGATCAGTTTTACTAGTCTTATTCTCCATTCCCACTTCCCCAAGTATCTTTATTTTTGTGCTTTCTTTTATTACAGGCATGAGGCCTGAGATTTAGATGTTGGGATATTTACACCTACGCACCTATGTCAGTAAAGGAGCAGTGATTGTTATTTTTTAAGACATTATAATGTTAAGTTGCAGGCCAAGGTTGCATGGGGAGATGTCTTCATAGCTACATTGCTTGGAGAAGTGGAAAAATAACATTCCTAGCTAGCTAGGTTTTATTCTGTAGTTGTAATTTATATCCTTGCTGACATAACATCACCAACTCAGAGAAGCAGTGCAACTATCACAAAAAGAACTGCTTTTGCCAGTACATTCACATCTCATATGTGCCCTGTAGAAAAGGGAATGGTTGCTGGTCTAGCTATTCCAGCATCACCTTTGAATATCCACAGCAGAGGCCGGGGTACGTAGCTAGCAAACATACCACAAAGCAATTGTACCAATGTCATGAGACAGTTTGACACTTCAACTGCATGCTAGTAAAAGCAGCAAAACTTTCTAGGGCTGACAGCATGAGTAGTAACTCCAGACTTTGTATGTTGTGTAGTGCAATGGGTTCAAGTCTCCAGCTGCTGCTAGGGTAAGTCATTTACATGGTGGGGAAAGTGCCCATCTTAGCAAAGATCTGGTAGAAATCCAGGATTTGCAGATGTCTGGTGAGCACGGTGAGCCTGTGTTGGGAGGTAAGATGAAGTTGTGCTCTTCCCTTTTCATCCCCAACCATAGCAGTACTAACCACTCCAGCTCAGTAGAGGTACCTGGTTCTCCTGGGGAGAAACAGGGGAGTCAGGAGCTGCTGGATGCCATCCTGATGGCAGCAGAAATCAGACTGCTTTAACTATGGTGACCCCATTAGTCGCTTGAGCTTTATGAACTGACTGACTCTGATATGTAGCTGATGCAAGATATGCTGATTGCTTTTAGTTTTTCTCTTCCCAATAAATGAGACATGTCACAATTTACAGTAGTAGATAGTCTGTGTTTCTTCACTAGTATAGCTTATCACATGAGGGACAGGATTGTGGCTGGAATCTGGATACATCCAAACATTGCTTTCATTTCTGAGGAGTGATTTTAATTTCTTGAAGGACTACTGCTGTATGACTTGAAACTTTTAATCTTATTGCTTTTAAGTATCATTTTTTTAAAGGCTTTGAGTGGTTCCATACATTTTCACAGCCTCTGCCTTTGCCTTCTGTGATTTGGGTGTTGCCTTTGTTCACAGCTCTCCATTTGGCCACCACTAAGGCCGAGTCAGGATCCTTTAAGGCCAGACCTTCCAGCTATTTTTTTTTATTTTTTTTTTTTAATTCTTTAATTACAGCCATGAAGCAGGGTGTTCAATATACTCTGTATAGCAACTCTCTTTCTCTGCTGTTTTCAGGTAACCATCACTGTAATTGGTCTGTGCCCTACCAGAATCACTGCATCCTCTTGCGTTGTCACCAGCTGAGTGTGTGCCAGAGTGCTGGAGAACAGGACATCAAAGATCTGCTTGGAGGTAATGCCATGCTTCAGGCTCCTGCTAAATCCAGGATCCTGGTCCTTTTGCCTTAAACGCCTACATGTAGACCTTGCCTGGCTTTCAGCTGAGGGAGGTGGGTTGTGAAATGCTTGCAGGATGATTTGTAGGTAAACTCAGTTCACTGAAGAACTGTTTCACTCGTTTCTGAAGGGCTCTGGGCCTTACGTGGGCATGATGAGTCTTTGAGTAACTTTTGTAACTGTTACTGAGTAACAGTTTGTCTCCATGTTGAAGACATCATTCATTCACGCCATTTGCACTCCACACGCTATCCTTTGGAAAAATAAAGACATAACAACTGTATTTTTATTTTTTTTTTAAAGAAAAGAAAATGTGTTGGCATTGTTTTTTCTGTGATTGCCAGGATTTTGTGCCAGAGGCAGCAGGCTGCTTCTATAATCAGAGCAGCCTTAGCAGTAATTGCTCATGGTGACTTTCCAGTGCCAGGGTCTTCAATTTCAATTAAGTGACACAATAACAAAACAGAGCTTGCTGGTAATTGGGGAATCAATCTTCTAAATTATGTTTCAAGACTTCACTGTACTTCAGTTTAAAAAAAGAAAGTTTGTTCATGGTTCTTTTGGGTTGGCAAACATTTCTCTGCAACGTAGAAACCAAACCTTTGATAAACAGATGGGATTTATGTCACTATAAATCTAGATCACTAGATGTGAAGGAAATTCTTCTGAAATATAAAGGTGTAAGTGGAAATTTCCACGCGGTTTTAAAAAGTGAAAATTATGAATCTAAGGATGAAGGCTTTGTCGATGCCATGTAACTTTGAAAGTGTGAGTTGTCTTTTCAGGACCTGGCATTTGCAATGCTGCTCCTGTTGATAATGTGCTTCAGCATTGTACCTCTGTACTTCATTTACCCCTCTTTTGTGGAATTAATTCCCTGGTTGGAAAAATGCCAGAGGTCTGTGGCAAAAAACCAAACAATAAAAAAAAACAAACCCACCCAAAACCCAAAGTGATTATGTGCAATAAAGGCAAGGATCTGAGTTTTCATGTTCTTCTTCACTTCAGAACTGATTTATTCTGGTTGTACTATGTTTACTGCAGAATGTGTGTTCTGGTTTGCATGTTGGGGGTATGAGATCAAATTTGAGCTTGAGAGTTTTATTCTTATGAAATTCATTGGGTTTGTCTTTTTGAAGAAATTGTCAGTGAGAAAAGGGAAACAGTTCTGTTTCACCACCAAAGTGATCCACAGAAGAAGAAGAGGACGGTGAATAAACAGGTTGACCGATACAACATGGAAAACCTGTTTTCCTCAACTGCTTGGACTCGCAAGATTCACTTGAGGCGTTTGCTTTCGAATGAGAGTGAAGGTGTAGCAACAAATGAAACATTTGCCACCGCTGCGACGACCACCGCTGCGACGACCACCGCTGCGACGACCACCACTGCGACGACCACCACTGCGACGACCACTGCCATAGCCATAACAACAAACGTTACAAATGCAACTGTCCTCACTACAGCTTATGGAACAGCTGCCAATGACTCAAATGCCGAAGCCACGTCTTCCAATGCCTCTTCTCTTACTTATGGTACCATCTCTGCTTCCACTTCCAGCCATGTCACCAACCTCGTGACCACTACTGAAAAATCAGGAAATAATAGCTCCGTCTCAGTATTGTCCCCCTCTTCTCCTTCTGCTCGCCTTCCTGTAATTTCTGAAGCAAGTACTCAAATACATCAAACAGAGCAGTTTAACCCAGGCACCACCAGCCCTCCTAGCTCTACTAGCCCCACCACTGTTGGAGCTGGCCCAAAGACACTGAACACAACATTGACCACCCTTATCTCACAGGATGCAGGAACATCTTCCACTGCTTCCACTAGTGCCATGGTTTTAACTACTGCCTCTGCAGCAGAAACTACGACTGGGCATCAGATAAAGCCAACAGCTCACATTTTTTCAACAACCACAGCTCTAGCAGGTGCACCTAAAACAACAGCTTCGGGCCATGCAGAAACTCAGGACAGGGACAATGAGTATCTTCTCATTGCTGCCGAGCCCCTGACTCAGTATTTGGTGGATAAGAGTTCGCTTCTTGCAGTGCTTTTAGTTGGTACGGTTTTTTTCATAACTGTTATAGTTCTTTTCCTTATGCAGGCCTACGAGAGCTACAAGAAGAAGGACTATACACAAGTGGATTACCTTATCAACGGAATGTATGTGGACTCGGAGATGTGAAAGGGTAGGGGAAAAAAAAGCAGGCAAAGAGATGGAAAGGGAATTGAAAGCTGCCTGACTTTTTTTTTTTTTCCCCTATTTGCCTATAAAACAAACTGAAAAGTGCTTCCAAATTTACTTCTGGTGCAATTGAGGAGAAATGCCATGTACTGTATTAAGAAAAATATATATATTTTTTATTCAACTGTGCAGCAGGTTGCTGTAAAAAAAAAAGTAGTAATTTTTAAAACTTCCATAATGCACAATAGCTTTTGTCATCATTTTTCATCGCAAAACAAACTTTAAAAGAGATAAGCCGTCATCTTCAGAAAATGCTATGGCGCTTCTTCAGCTGTTTACGGTGCAAGTTCCCTGTGTTTCATTCATTTCACGTGCCTCTCTGAAAACAGAACAAGGGATGCTCTCACCTTTTGCAAAGTGCTCTGAAGTTGCCGGATGAGAAGTGTGGAGTAATGCTGCAACAGGGAATTTCTGTGTGTGTCATGTTTCAGTATGCTTCTTGCTTCTAAAGAGGTCTGTTTACAAGGCATTGTAAACTCTGTTTACTGCTAACCCAAGATATCTTTTCACCACGGAGCAGATGGTTTAAGAGCCTCTGCACTTAAAGGATCTTATTTTTGTATTCACTTAATAAATGGGCCCTGGAAGGGCATATCTTGTTGCATTTCTCTTTTCATTCCTGTCCCTGCCAGTTCAGAAGCAGGCAAGTGGGCTTTTGGGGCTTAAGCAAATTAGCTGTCCTGAAATATTCCAAGTATGGGGTCTTTCAAGACCTCACTGGAAGTTTGGACATATCACAGAAGATGCTAATCGTCTTCCAGGGTGACTGCAGTAACTTCCCAGCAGTATGCTGCCAGCCTCCCAGGTATGCAGACTCGTTCACTGCTTATTGTCTCTCATGTGTAGAGCATCAGGCTCTGTTTTGGCTTTTGGTTTGCCTTTAGGACCAGCTCAGAATCGCTGGTAATTTTGAAACCTTATTGCATGTGCAGCTCACCACCTAAGATCTGCAGCTGAGAGAGTGAGTAGAAAACACTTGATTTTCAGCAACTATTCTTCAGTGATTAATACATCTTATTTGAATGACACGTACATACCAATAGCAAAATGCTGGATCAAGGTGCATTGTATTTTTTATTTTTAAACAGATCGATAGTGTGCATTTCACTTTGAATTAGTTGGCTCTTATTTAATCCTGCTTGCATGTAATCTTGAAGCTGATAATAGGCAAACCTCAGAATTTGAGCTGCTGGGCTTTGCTTTGGATTTTTGGGGGGTTGTTTTGTTTTGTTTTTAATCCAAATGCTTTGGCTGTTTGGAATTTGGAGGGTGTTTTTATGCCTTGTAGACTTCTTGTTCATCATCAAACTGAAAGTGCTATGAAAACAGCTGGAAATAGCACAAGCAGCCACAGAGGCAAGGGGTTTGAAATAAATGGATGGGAGGTTGTTTCCTGAATCTTACGCAATACAAATTTTGAGGACAAAATTTCAGCAATTGTGTTGAGGAAAGGAAAGAGATGGCTTTAGGAGTGAGATGACTTGGTTGTCAGTGTCAAGTCACATTTTTCAGTGCTTGCACAGGAACCACACCTGCATGGTTAAAACATCTCTCAGGGTAAAAGGATAGTGTGGTTTTGGGAGTCTCCCTCCTTGGAAGGCTTGAAGTGTGTAAGCCACAAAATTCACATGATGTTTCCTGGAGGGAAAAAAAAGTTTGAGGGACTGAATTTTACTGTATTTTAAGGTTATTTTTGATTGGTTTCTCCTCAGCAGAAGGGAAGTGAACCCTGATTTCCGCCATCTTCCTGGAGCCACCCATGTGCAGTTATGCAACAAGGTGCTGGGAAACATCCCCCAGTGCACCCAGGGAGTCGTTGAGGTGCACCCTGTTGAGGTGTTTGAGCACGACTGCTCTGAGCTGTTAGCAGATGTCAAGCAGATGCTGCTCTGCAACCACTGAGTCCAGACACTTATCTTTTGGTAGGAATCTCAGGTTTCACCTTAGTTGCATGACTTAAGCAGGTGAGTCACTAACCACAGCTCTAAGCATGTGGTCTTTGAGTTCTACTCCAGATACTGAGATAAGAGCTGTCTCCTGCACTCCCTGCTGTCTCCCAGGTAAGGAGATGGGCGTTACCTCAGATTCAGCTCACTTCTTTTTCTCCTCATTTAGACATCTCAAGTAAATGCTTGCATTTTGATAAGGTGAATCCAGGCAATAGTGCTCTTCCTTGTAATTTATCCCTGCCTATGTAAGTGAACTCCTGTCTGTAGGAGGTGTCTTCTGCATACAGGGTCAGTGTTGGGGCTGTTCTGCTAGTGCTCCGCAGTATTTTAAAAATTTTTTTACATTGACTGAGCTATTTCCACAAAGGCAAACTATCATCACCAGACTTAGAGTCATAGAATGGTCCAGGCCCACAGTCAGCAGGGACACCCCCAACTAGATGGAGTTGCCCAGGGCCTCATCGAGCCTCACCTTGAATATCTCCAGGGAAGAGGCCTTAACCACCTCCCTGGGCAACCTGTTCCAGTGCTCCACCACCCTCATAGAAAAGAACTTTTTCCTAGTATCCAATCTAAATCTGCTCTTCTCCAACTTAAAGCCATTGCCCCTTAACCTGCCGCTGCAGGCCTTTGTAAACAGGCTCTCCCCAGCCTTCCTGTAGCCCCCCTCAGGTACTGGAAGGCTGCTATTAGGTCTCCCTGGAGCCTCCTCTTCTTCAGGCTGAACAACCCCAGCTCCCTCAGCCTGTCCTCGTAGCAGAGGTGCTCCAACCCCCTGATCATTTTAGTGTCCCTCTTCTGGACCCGCTCCATCAGGTCCATGTCCTTCCTATTGAAGAGATTAATATTAGACTACTGTACTGATTTCTTGAGGGGAGTAGGAAGGGAAGTGAGAGGAAGGGGGCATTACTTAAAACTCTGAAAGAATTTTCTTTTGTAAAAACATGCTTTCTAACATTGGTTTATTAAAAACAAATACAACCATTCGGGGATAATTTAAGTGGGTATGGTATTATTCCAAGAGTTGGAATTGGGTTACAGCTCTATATACAAGAGTCTTAGGGAGTTTCTCATGGACACAGTGAGAATATTACAACTACGCCATGGCTAGAAGAAACTACCACCATAAAAACCTTTGTGGCTTCTTAACAGGTTCTTACAGGAAGGTGAGTATTCATCAGAAGCTTGCTGCAGTTCCCACAGACCTGGTATGTTTACATCCAGGTCTCCTCTTCAGATACTGGCACAGCCTGTCTTTTTTGTTCTTGAGTTACTCCACTTCCAGCTGTGAAGTACTTTCTCAGCAGAAACTGATTTTTTTAGTGTAAGGCTGAGCACCAGAGCAAGTCTTAGCCTCGGTGCATTTCTGCATACAAGTTAGAGATCTTCATGCTTATCATAGAATGGTTTGGATCTGAAGGGACTTTTAAAGCCCGACCCCCCTGCTTCAACTAGATCAAGTTGCTCAGAACACTGTGCAACCTGACCTTGAATGTTTCCAGGGATGGGGCATCTACCACCTCTCTGGGCAACCTGTTCCAGTGTTCACCACCCTTACTGTAAAAAAACAAAAAAACAAAAAACCAAAAAAAAAACAAAAAAAACCAACAAAAAAACCTTATCTAGTCTGGATCTACCCCTTTTTAGTTTCAAACCATTACCTTTTGTCCTATTGCAATGCTGCTCAAAGTGCAGCGCCAGGTGGAGAAATGTCAAGTAGGTTTTTCTTTACATCCCAGTGGTTTTGTCCCCTACTAGCTCAGTTTAGGCATTAAAAAAAAAATATAATACCGACCTGGAGCCTGGCCTCTGAAGGTCAAGGTGTGTTTTCTGGCTTGTACACTGAATCCTAATTGTAAAGATTTGGCAGCTTTACTGGTTCTGTTTTGCATCCAGCTGCTCGTGAGCACTGAAGGAGAGCAGTGGGACTGTGGGAAGTGGATTGCACATGCCGTCCTCTAAAGGGCTCTGCTGTAGTGGTGGCTTGATACACAAGTCTGAAGCAATTAGGATTTCTTCCCTTCTGGCTCTCTTTGTGTTGAAGGTCACCAGCAGCAAACATTCACTTGGCTGGTTCTACCTCCAGTCCATTGTTTCTGTTTGGGCTAAAGCCAGCTTCCTACAATCAATGGCTTCGCTCATTTTGCTTTTGAGGCTTTAAATGGGGGAAAATCCATTGCATTTCATGGTGTAGTGTTACAATAGTTAATAGTGAGTGCATTAGATGAGGAAACGCAACACCTTTAAAAGTTTGCTTACTGAATTCACAATGTAACAATAGACGGGGTCCTACCAAGTTATCTAGAAGACATCTGCCAAGGGACTGCCAAAAACAACATTCTGCTGCTGTGAAGCATAGCGTGTCTGACGCACGTTGGGTTTCAACCTGTTGCATGGCCTCTTTCTCAATAAAACACAGGAACATCCTGGAATTAAATTTAGATTAGATTAATTCTAAATGCCACCTCCCTCTTACTTAATTGCCTGTCTTAGAAGTATGTTGTTCTAGACAGCAGAGAAGAAAGGAAATAATGGAATATTAAAACATTTAAAGGAATAATAGGAATGAAGAATGTTTTGACCGCAAATTTGTTTGCAATATGCCATGTGGTGTCCAGACCATTGTGGCGCACGTGCAGAACTCTTAAGCATGACCTTTAAAACAGCTAATGCATGTAGTCGGAAAACACCCAGGGAGCTCTGGAAGCAGAGGTATCATGGAGTTGGTCTCTCTAGATTTGTCCGGTGGCTGCTCATTTCTGGCATCAAAAAAAAGGAGACCTGAGCCCTGCCCTACTGAAGCGTTTCGAAGGGCATTTTACACTGTGGGTTCTCTGGTATGCAGTAAAGGCAAGTTCATATTGCAGCATCTCCCCTGACCAGGGAGCTCTAGTTGTCTCCTTTCTATGGCCTCTTAAGTCTTGTGAAACTTAATTACCTTTGTTGTGCTCAGCTGCAATTGGCCCATGGATTCAAAAGCAAATGCTTTCATCTTGCACAAAGCATGGGCTTATGAGTTTGTGCTTTTCTAGAACAAACCAGGATAAACAACAGCAAAGCCTTAGAGCTGTAATGATTCCTATCTGCTAGAAGGCCTAAGCAGTTCGGGGTTAGGACACTGCTTTGACTTTTTGGTCTTGCTGGATAGCTTGTTATTGTGGGCAAAGCTGGTCTTTGCTCTACAGCATTTTGGGTCATCTTCCTTGTAATTTCATGCCCTTAGACCTTGTATTTCTGTGCTGCTGCTGGGCTGGATAATGTATTTGGAGCAGTCCTGCCTTGGCTGAGAGATGCCAGCAGGTTGTGCTGCGGGGCAGCTCTTCTGGAGCTTGCCTGTTCAGCCTCCCTCTGGCAGGGAAACCCCAAAGGGTCTGAGAAAAAAGTCTATGCCTGATCTGGGGCTTCCTGGTTAGCCCTGGGTGATGTTCAACTTGTGCCTTGTCTGGAGTTATGTTTGAACTATGAAGTATGTTTGAAGGAGAGGTCCGTTGCTAGCATGCAGAACTTGCCCAATATCCTCCTGGTCCCAATTAAAAAGACTAAAGCTGTTTGGATGGGATTGTACAGTCTGTTTGAAAAAGCAAACAAATAACTTGTCTTCGTGAAAAGTGCCTATATATTTTAAACCCTCTAAGCTGGGACAGGTGAAACCAAT